ATATATATATATATATATTCAAATAAGCCAAATGCAATTATGCACTTAGAGAGGAGTGGTGGTCAGTGTTGAGAGGGCAAGACCTATGGAACAGAGGGAGTTTAGGTTGTGGGTTAGGCACAAGAAAGAGAGTGGCACAACATATGACTCTAAAGGCGGGTCACTTGTATACCTATTATACTAGAAGTATGAGCAGATGATAATGGGAGATAAGGATAAAACAAATGATCGACGAACTGAGCTAGTATGTAGAGGATGAGCTTGGATTACGTGCATTGTCATAGAAACAGTGAAGATAAGAGCCGATAGATATCTCTGTTTCAAGATCTAAGAGGTGCAAAAATGGGAAATATATATGAACGAAGGTCCCTAGAAATTGTGGCATTTAGAGATTTAATCAGAATTGTTATTTTTTTATTTTTATTCTATTATTTAAAGTGTTGCATGTATAAATGTTGAATCCAAATTTGTTCTATGAGGAATGCCCAATAATTTTAGTGATAGGGACCTCGAGGGAGAAAAAAGAAAGAGACGAAGAAGAAAAAAGAAATAAAATAATACGCATAGACTTGCCCTTTTTCATCATCTATCCATTTATCTCGACTCTTAGATTATCTTGAGATTCATGTAGTCCATTTTTTGTGTACATATTAATTTCATTGATTTTCTTGCTCCTTGATGGCGGCAACTGTGATAAGGATATTTTCTGTTCTTTTTTATAATCCTTTTGTGATATGTCCAGAGCATACATCCAAAATAGAATCGGATTGAAATACTTCAAAATACAATATCCACAAAGAGAATCCCAACATAGACAACTTACAACCAGATAACCAAGAAGAACTTTTTTTTGGTCAATAGCAACTCCCAAAGGGACATATTATTTTGGTTAATTACATCTTGAGGGATACTAAATAAAATTCTGAATAGTATGGGTCCTACTTACATATGAGTGATAACTAGTGAAGAGGTCACCAAAAGGACGGTTATCGCAAGGGGGCATCTTGAAGCTTTCAAAGCTCACATTAAACCGTATGGGTAGAGAGTGAGTCTCCCATAGTCTCAATAAGATTAATTGCTCATTAGTGAACGATGCCCATGAAATAATTGGATCACCACTTAGGATCATCCCACTGCTTCAAGCATGTCAATAAAATACAGCCAACTAAATGACATCAATGAGGTGTCAAAAGGATCGACAGAGCTTAAAAAGGGTATATCAAGAAAATGGATGAAATCTCTAAGTAGGTACAGGTAGTAGGGTCAGGATATCATGGATCTGTCATCCCAAACAATGGAGATCCTAAGTCAACCTAGTCATGAAGGTAGTCGACCCAACCTGACTAGAGACCTCTTATCAGCAATCTATAAATTATGTTCTCTAATGAAATCTTGATTACTCTAAAGTCAAGAGAAGGAAACTCTAAGTCCTATGACCCTTTGTAGGTAAAAGTGGTAGAAATGGAGCTTATATCTATCAAGAAAGTGGCAAGGATGCCTCCATAAAGGAGATAAAAGAGAGGTCTATCTACAAAGCTAAAAATATCCCC